AACTTCAGCATATGGGGCTGAAGTAGCAAAGACAATCACGCAAAACTTCAGCATTCTAGTAGATGGGACTGAAGTAGCAAGTATGCTGAACCAAGTGTGCTGAAGTTTTTGTTTTTGTAACTGGCGAACTTCAGCTCTAGAGCTAAAGTTTTTGTTTTTGTAACTGGCGAACTTCAGCTCTAGAGCTAAAGTTTTTGTTTTGTAACTGACGAACTTCAGCTCTAGAGCTAAAGTTTTTGTTTTTGTAACTGGTGTAACTGACGAAGTTTTTGTTTTTGTAACTGGTAGAGCTGAAGTTTTTGTTTTATAACTGGCGAACTTCAGCTCTAAAGCTGAAGTTTTTGTTTTGTAACTGTCGAACTTTAGTTCTAGAGCTGAAGTGTTTATTTGTAACTGGCAAACTTCAGCTGTGTTGAATTATCGAAATGGCAGAATCGTCGGATCCAGAGAAGAAAATTAGTTGTTTGAAAGAGGAAGAAAGGGCAGAACATATGATAGAAGTATTCCTCGGAAACAATTCAGAAAACATCAACCCAAGAGCACGTTGTTCTTGAGGAGAAAAGTGAATGTTTAACAATCGAAAAATCTTCATGGGTTCTTGATTTTGAAAGGGGTAATCTAACCAGTGGATTCAAAGACATAGCCACTTCCATATTTCTTCTTCTGCTACTATGAATTTTCCTTTTTTTTTTTTTTTCTGTTTAGTTTTGAGGTATTTTTGCAAGGTGGATGGGGAGCCAAATCACCAGCACTGCCTGTGAGTTGTACTGGAAAGAGAAATTCGTTTGGAGGAGAAGGACGAGGAGAAAATGGGCTGAAGTTGTTTAAAAAATGAGTATATATTAAAAAAAATTTAAAAAATAGGTATAGTTTAAATGGAGCGACCAAATAGAGCGCCCGTGCAATTTTTACCTTATGGGCCATTCTAGTTGGGCCCGACTTAGTTGGAAAGAGAGCCCGTCAAATGCAGACTAGCCCAAAGTTCGTCATTCACAAACCAAACACAGAAGGTCAAAGGAAAAAAAGGAAAAAGAAAAGCAAACCGGTGAGAGAAATAAGAAGACAGCAAATGGATACCTCTGCAGGCTGCAGCTCCCAGCAGGATAGGAAATGGCAGTATAATGTAATGCTATATAAATAGATTCTAGAAAAGAAAGGTGTAGAGGAATCCCATTAAAATTTGGGGCTCTATAGTTTGCTTAATTATTCGGCGACGAGAGTTGATTCCCCACAGGCACCTGCTATAAAGCAATGAGATTTACCACCTTTGATCCAATGGACTTGGATTCAGCTAAGGTATTACACTATTACTACATCTTCTTTGTCCCTTTCAATTAAGATTTCTTTCTCGTATGTTATTGGCAACTTGCTATCTGTGGTATTATTTAAAGTTTCTTATTTGTTGCACTAAGATAGGCTAGTTTCAATAAACTTCAGCCCTCCATATTCTGTTTCCCCTTTTCTGAAATTCTAATTTGAGTTGTACATGATAGTAAAAGTCTGTAGAGTCGTTATTGCTATTAGTTAGAATCTTTGTTAAACCTGATAGCGAGAGATCAAATAAACAACAGGAAACCTTCCTTTAGTCCTGTCAATCACATTCGTATGGTTACTACAAGGCAAAATCAAGAGTCTATGTTATAGGTTGCTATGGAGACTTATAATAGTTATAGTCTAGTCGAGGAAACAATTAATGTCAGACTGACCACCAAAAAGTTACTCCCTCCATCCACATTTGTCGAATACTTTTATGTTGTGAGGCACCAAAATCTCGTTCACATACTTATAAAAGATATCAGTTTATATAGCTTTCATACTTTAAATCTATTTAGCTACTGAAACTTAATAGATGGACATGATGTTTTCTCTATTAACGTAATTTTTTAACTTATGAACTGTTAAGTTTTATAGAATCACTGTCAGCATAAAATGTAGTAAAATCTAAATTCTACTCTGAGCTATAAACGAACAGAATAATAAAACTGCTAAAATTTGCTCTAATGGATGGTGAGCAATGTTACAAGTTAGTTTTTGTCTTCTGTAAGTACCTTATGTTTTACTTTCAGTTTCTTCTCAAATCAAAAGTAATAGGAAAATTATGCATGCTATCTTTCATGGGTATATCTTTTTGAGTCCCTGAGTGTACTTATTTTGTTTTCTTGGTTAACTCGGGCAAAGCTTGCGGCTGCAAAAGAGAAGTTTGGACGCGAAATCTATGTATTTGAAACATCAACAGCTGCTTCAACGCCTTCTAATGTTTACAGCAACAAGTACATTCTGTTTGATCAGTATGACTTCCTGAACAAGAGTATTTCCTTAATTCTTCAATTTGATATTTGCATAATATATTCTTCTCATTTTCTTGGGAAGTTTCCGAGGACTTCTCTGAGTTCACCCCAGAAGATTATTATCGACTTTTGGCAACTAAAAGGAAGGTAAAACATTCTTTTCGACTGTGAAATTTCAGATAAAATAACGGTCCTTAAATTTTTACATACATGAGATGATTTTCCTAGTTGGTCTCCAATAGATGAGGCCAGCAAATATCTGCTGTGTGCTTCCTTTGGAACTAATTGACATCTAAAGGCCTTAAAAAAAAATTGGCAACTACAGATCATCAGCTCCAATCCTTTGATTAGTATTCATTTTACACGCTGTTTCTTCCTTATTGACAAACTTCCCTTCTTCAATAGTTCTTTCCGTCTTGTCTATCTATTTTTTGTTATTTCCTCATCTCTCAGCAAAAAGATATACTAGACATTTGGCAATTTATGGTGTTGCAAGTTCTAACTGGTGGTATTTTTGAAATTGTCAGCAGATAAGTATTTGAAGACACGGAACAGTCGAGAGGCAGAAGAAGCTGCACGTAAAGCAAGGATTATTAAGGTTTTTAGCAGATCATTTTCTCATAATGGTTCTCGCCTGTTTCAATTCTTCATCTTCATATTTTTGGATATAGCATTGAAAAATATTACTATCATATAACTTGTGCATACACTACTTATCGTAAAAATATAATTTCTGTACACATTATCCAGGCTGTAATCAGAGTGCGGTTTCCTTATAATTATACATTGGAGGCCATATTTCATCCATCAGAGACAATCCAGAGCCTACATTACCTTCTTGCAAAAGTGGTTGCTCATCAAGAACTGCCTTTCTATTTATGTAAGGGGACCATAAACGTTTAATTATTTTTTTGGTATTTACCTTAAGAAGCATTTTGAAATGGTGAAGCTGAAGACCAAAACTTTTGATTTTTTTCATTATTTCAGATACACTCCTCCTAAGAAGCGAATAAACAACATCTCTCATGATTTCTGTTCTGCTGGATTTGTTCCTGGCGCTATTGTTTATTTCTCATATGATCTAACCAAATGTTAGTGCACTTCTATTTGGTACAGTTACTAACTTTCTAGTCAACTGTCTGGATCATATATTCCATTATAAGTTGCTCTTATTTCAATCCCGAAAAGTTCTGTTTTACATTTGGGCAGTGAAACCTGCAATGGTTCATATATTGTGATTTTAGTTGAATGGTAATGAGATGGTGTTCTATGTTTCCTGCGGCTCTTTCATCAAGAACCACCCCACAGGAAGGTTGGGCCTATAAACACTTTTGAGCCTGAGATGATTCATATGAGTCTTTCCTCTTGACAAATCGTGATAAATGCTTCCATATAGCCCTCTGCTTTTAATTCTCAGAGTCATTTGTTACTTAACAGCCACCTTGCCCCCCTTTTTTCATCATTAGAACCCCGAATTTTCTTTGGTATTTTGCCTGTCCAATGGTATTTACTGCCGTTCTGTGTTTGTTTGTGTACTACTTATCCTGTTTTATTTCATCTACTGCTGATGTCTTTCACAACTATGAGGGTTGTTTTTCGCGTAACCCATTTTCCTTTCGCTTATGTATCCTTAACAATCAAATTAATCTAATGGCTTTTCTTATTTTCAGGATATGATGGTGCTGCAACTGGCCCCCTATCTTCAAGAAGAGGTCATGACTTTGCAAGGATTGCAATCTGTAACAGATAAGATAGAGTCCGATGAACCCACCAGAAATGAATCTTCAATAACCACCCGACGGCAGCGGGAGCGGGATACGTCCTGGATTCGGTCAACTGACTTCGGACATTTTGACCGGAGTCTATCGACAAATTTAGGAGAAAAATTGAGATTTTGATTTCTCAAAATAAAAAATAAAATAGATTTAGGAGAATGAAAGAATAATGTCCATCTTGGAGAATGAAATATTAAATTCTACAATATTCATGTAAGTTTTTTACAGAATATCTCTCAAAATTTATAATATTTATTAGAACTGATCAATGGAACAGTAATTCGAAGCTTTGCTGAGCTTCGATGGTGAGCTTCAATGGTGAGAGAGTCGTGAACTTCACGCCATGAAAGGCCACAATAAGAGAAGAGAAAAAGATGAGAGAACTTTCCAGAATTTCTCAATTGAATTAAGAAGAAAATGAGTGGAACCTCCACTATATATAATTGAACAACTAAGAGCTAATTAACTAACTAGGCCGGCTAACTAACTTTCTAGTTAGTTAGCTGATTGGTACAACTGTCAGCTCTAACTAACTAATGACTCCACTAACTCCTAACTAATTGATCAATATACATAATTAATCTTAACACCCCCCTCCCCAAGTTGGAGGTGTGGTGAACATAGCTAACTTGCCCAATGTAGCACCGTGTTTGATCCCAGTCAAGGCTTTAGTTAAGATATCTGCAAGCTGGTTGTCTGTTCTGATATGATGGAGAGAAATTAAGCCTGCTTGTAATTGGTCACGCACAAAATGATAGTCTACCTCTATGTGCTTGGTCCTCTCGTGGAATACTGGGTTCTTTGCAATGTGCAAAGCAGATTGGCTATCATAGAAGACTGAAATAGGCAAGGAAAATGGAACAGTCAATTATTCAAACAATCTGCTTAGCCATACCAGTTCTCCCACAACTTTCCTCAAAGCTCTGTATTCTGCTTCTGCAGAAGATAGTGATATGGTCTCTTGTTTCTTAGACTTCCAACTAATAGGACTGTTACCTAGTAGAACCAGATAACCTGTGATAGACCTCCTAGAGTTTGGGCAGGCTGCCAATCAGAGTCACAATATGCCTTAACTGTGTGATCCCCATCCTTTGACATGAAAATTCCCAAGGTAGGATCATTCTTTAGGTATCTTAGCAAGTGAAATGCTGCTTTTAGGTGAGATTCTGTGGGCTTCTGCATGAATTGGCTTAAGTGTTGAACACTGTATGCTATGTCCAATCTGGTGTTGGTTAAGAAGTTTAGCTTTCCTACTAATTTTCTGTAGTAAGTGGGATCTTGCAGTATGCTCTGTGAGCACGTGATTTTTGCCCTATATGTATTACTCCAACAAATTCAAAACAAATGATTTCTTTCAGTGTTGGCAATTTTGTTGGATTTCGTGGCATTTTCTGTTAATTATTCGCATTTGTCTGTGCACATTTATTTTATTTAATTCATGAAAAATACAAAAAATATGTTGCATCTGCATTTAGGATTTAATTTTATATTTTTAGATTAATTAGTAAATTAGTTTGTTTATAAAAAAGGGAAAATCATAAAAATAATTCATTTTTGAATTTTACTTTTTAATTTTGAATTGTATAGTTTTCTTTAAATTTAGGATTTGATTAATTATTGTAAATACCATGATGAGTGATTAATCTAATTGGGTATGTTAATTTAGTTTAAAAATTATTATTTAATTTAGGTTTTATTTATTTTTGAAAAAAAAAAGAGAAGAAGAATTTTGAAATTGAAAAAATGAAAAGAAGGAAATGAAAGAAGATCTAAATCTGGGCCAAAATCAATCCACATTTCCCCAGCCCAAACGAAAACTATCCAATACCCGGCCCAAACCACCCTAACCCGGTCCAGCTTCCCCCCCAAACGAAACGACGTTGTTTCATGGACAATAGATCAGGACCGTCGAGGTTTCTTGATCGGACGGTCTTGAAGCCCGGGTCATGTGATATTTAAATGTCCAAACGTTCCCTACCCCCCTCTCACTTCTTTCACTCCTCTCACCATCCCTGTCGGAACCGCCGACCGAAAATCGTCTCCGCTGGCGGCGGTGCTCCGATCGACCCCAAACTTACACCAAATACCCTCCTCCATCTCCCCATCCCAGATCCGCACCCCTTTTCCCTCAAATCGAACCCCAACTATTCGAATCTCAATTCAAAACCTCAAACCCTAACCGCCGCCCTAGAATTTCCAACCCCTGCCCGGCGGCGGAGCTCGAACACCACCCAAAATCTAGCCATGCAACCATCACCATTCCCTTAACCCCAATCCACCACCATTTCTCCCCAAATTCTCACCAAACCAGGTCCAAATCAAATCTGAGAACGAAGAAGGAGACAATCTGGCAAGCTGTCATGTTTTCTATGAACGATGCGGCTCGAGACTAGTATTATTCATCTGTTCTCAAAGAGAACACGCGGGTAATACCAGTTTCGGGTCAAGTCGAAGTCGCCTGAGGTTGCCCAAGTTCTGTCCGTTTGATTTCCTAGGTATTTCTGTTTTTGCCCTTTCATCTCTATCTTCTGTTTATTCGTATACTCGCACCTTTCTGCTTCTTCTCTTTTCTGTCCGTTTTCTGTTCACCTGTCCCTCTCATTTTCTTCTAGTTTCTTTACTTTAATTTTCGAGTTTGAATGGGGTGAAGTATTAAAACACTGAATATTGTTTTCTTTGGTAAGCTTTACAGTTTTTCTGGTAGAAGTTCTCATGAATTTTGTTGTAACTTGTGCATATTGCCTGTTTTAGTTCTGTTTGTGTTCCTAATCATATATTTGGCTCTGGTTAATTAGAATCGTAGCTCGTTGTTTTAATCTGAAAAGAGAGCTTAGTTTATTCAGGTAATTTTGTTCTTCTAATTTCAAAATGAGCTTTTGATATTGTTTGGGCTTTGGGGTCGTTTTTGAATCCTTCATAGGGGCCTGTTAAGTGTTGGGTCAAACTTGATCCATCAACACTTCAAATTGGGTTAATCTGACCCATATAATTTGCTGAAGGTAATTTCAGGGGTTGTGGGGGTAGTTTAGGAAATTGGCTTAGGGAATCTTTGGTGTAACAGAATAGGAAGCTTCCTAAGAAGCTGGGTTGGGGACTGTTTCGAAATTCTGAGAGTTAACTAAGGTTCCCTAAGCAAAAACAAAATTTGAAAAGGACTAAAATCTAAAAACTGAACCCTTAAGGCTGCCCTGTTTTCTTGCCTATAAAGGCATCATTTTTTGCCTTTCAAGGCAGACCCAAGAGCTGAAAAGAAGAAAAGCTCAGAAAAATACAAAAAATGACAGGAATTTTACTGTTTCATTGAATTTCAGTGAGTGTGGATTCCTTTTCAACTTTTGAAACTACTTTTACTCATCCGAGTGGGAAAGGGACTGAACTTGGTCGCCAAAGTTGGGTCTAAAGTTTTGTTGGGCTGCTGAGTATTTGAGTTTGTTGTATTGAGCTGCTGCACATCATTTCTGGGGTTGGGATTGGTTTTGCTGGCTGTTTTAGTGCTGATTCTTGTTGCTGCTCCTATTGATTTTTCATTTTTGCCTTTGTTCATTCCCAGGTATACATCTCTACCCTTTATTCGAATGTAAAGCTTGATGTGGGAAATCAGAAAAATGAAATCTGGAGCTCTGAATTGTATTCACAGTTAGCTGTGTTCACATTTTAGTCTACTTGTCTACTTTTCTTTTTTTAGAAAATTTCGCTTATTGCCTTCCAAACTCTGAATATGTGATCAGAGACTGAGCTTCTGAATATCATATGACCTGGTAGTTTAGTTTGATATCCATCTTAGTCTGATTCTTTAAATGTAGTCATTTGCATTACTTCTTTGTTTTAAGGGCATGATTTGGACTTGTTCAAATGCAGTCAATTCGATCTTTTTTAGACTTTAAATGTGTACTAAGTAAGGTTTTTAAGGCTACTATAGTATGGATTTGAATCTTGTATGCAAGTTGAATTGGTGGTTCAATGCCACAGCTTTTGAGTCTGATTTGTGCGATAAGCCTCGATGTTAGGAAATATCTGTTTTCCTATAGCAGGGGTCTAAGTTTGCTTCGTTATTTTTCTTTAGATCTAGTTTAAATTGGTTTCATGTTTAGCTTAGTTTATTTTTTCTCTTTCAGAATCAAAGTGTTGTATTATAATCTTCTATTGCACTGTCTTTTAAAATTCAAGTGAGGCAGTTTTGTTCAGTTATACCTTGATTTATATGCATACCAGTCAGTCATGTGCTGGCCAGGGCCAGTAGGCCCAGCTGACTTTTGGGCCTGGTCTTGGAGGCTCCTTTGGAAATGAGGAGTGGCCTCGCTGTTCTCGTTTGTCCTTGGCCTCCTTTTAAGTCTAAAAGTTTATTTTGTTGATGTTAACTAATAGGGTGGCCCAGCTTCTGAACATCTAACGCCCCTCCCCCCTTCCCTAATAGTTGAACACCTAGGCCTTAAATCGTATTAGTTCAATTATTTATGGTAATTAATTTGAGTCAAGCTATAATTAGATGCTTAGTGACAAATGGCTCTTGTGTTAATTTCATAATATAGATGTAAAATAACAAATATTCGTAGAGAAACCTTTAGGGCCGTTTAAAAATACTATCATGGTTATGGACACGTTCGCGTGACATGATTACGGTTTCTAAAAATAAAATTTGGGTTGTGAGCACGTGATTTTTGCCTTACATGAAATACTCCCATAAATTCAAAACAAAGTAATTTCGTTTCATTATTTGCAATTTTGTGGATTTTGTGGCATTTGCTGTTAATTATTTGCATTTTTTGTCTGTGCATTTCGTTTGTTAATTAATGAAAAATACAAAATATGCTACATTTGCATTTAGGATTTAATTTTTGCATGTTTGAAATAATTAGTAATTTAGTGTCTATAAAACTAGAAAATCACAAAAAATAGTTCATTTTTGAATTTTAATTTTAATTTCTCGAATTTTGTTAGATTTCTTTAAGTTGGTATTTAATTAGTATGGTAATTATTTTTAGAGGTTAATTAGTTTAATTTGATAGGATAATATTAGTTTTAATAATTAATTTAGGATTTATTTCTAATTTTGGAAAGAAAAGAAATTTGGAAATTGAAAAAAAGAAGAAAAGATTCAAAAAAACAAAGGAAAATTTGATTTGGGCCATTTATGTAAACCCCCCTTCAGCCCAATTGCCCCCTCGTACCCGCCCAATTCTGGCCCAAACCCGCCTATACCCGGTTTGGATTCCCCTTT